GAATGTTTTGTGTTTTAACATCTTATCACTACTTGTATGTTTTTATTCATGAGTTTAAATGTGTTTGTGGTGATTAGTTGGCTAATTTCTTGATTAAGTAAAGGATCCTCAAATTAGCAACCAACAAATGATTTTTGTGTTGTTTTTGCTTCACACAATCATAAAAACATTTTCTCCAACATGGTAGTGAAAGCATTTGACTCCTCTTGGATTTGGTGACTTTTTGGTTCTTAATGCTAGTTGACTTTCACTAATTACATGCTTAATGGACATTGTGACTTTGACTAAGGAAATTGTTATGAGCTTCTCTAACCATTTTAAAAACTAAGAAAAGTCTAGGTAATCTCAAGCTTCTTGGATTACTATAGCCAAATTAAAGATTTAAATCAAGTATTGCATCATTGGATTCTAATGATATGTTCATCAAAAGTCAAAGTGAGGAGACCTTAAGTCAACCATCCTTCCTTTATTGATTTTACATCAAACTCTTATTTTTATTGAAATTGTCTATTTAAATCTTAGTTAATTCTAGTTTATTTCAAGTATTTTAAAAGACCAAAACCCCCCATTTTTAATTTATTGTCATTTTACAAGTATTTTTACAAAGATATTTTTCATAGAGTTACAAAATTGAACCAATCTCCGTGGATACGATCCCTTTACCACTATACACTATTTTAGTGTGTAATATTTATGGTTATTAATTTTGTTGGTCTCGACAACCACCACTCGCCTCCCAGTCGTCTTCTCCACCAGAAATCGGAGGTAATCAGGTAAGTGGTTTTAAATCTGAATTTATGGTTTGCTGTTTCTCGCCTCTCAATTTCTGTATCTCAATCTGAATTTACGATTTGTGTATTTTGTGGTTTGTTGTTGCCTGTTGTATTCTATATCTCAATTTCTTCACTGTGATAGTTGAAATTTGTTCACTGTATTTCATGATATACTCATGTTTATTTTGATTGGTTGCAAATCTGAATTTGTTCACTGCTCACTATAATTTTGAGTTGAATGATGATTAGGTTTTATAGTGGTTGTTTATAGATTGTAGTCTACATATGGAGGCGATGTAGTTGTGTAATTTTGAGTTCACTGCTCACTATAAACCGGGGGAACGGGACGGGATCGGGGGCGGGACCGGGGGCTGTGTAAACAGGGGATCCGAGGGCGGGGGCAGAAACTGATTTCGAGGGCGGGGGCGGGGGCAGCTATTTCCGCTCCTGTTTGCCCCCGTTGACATCCCTAGTTGAG